TAATTTAATTCAAAATATGTATTTCAATATCTATCTAATCCGGCAATCTTAATATTATGCCCTTAAAAGATATATAAAGTTCATCGAAACAACCCGCACACCAACTCTTGGATACCAAAATCACTAAAAACCCTAATGCAAATTAAACACCATCCTAACGCCTCTAATAAGAAACAGACAATCCATTCATATTTACAAGACTCCATTTTATATAATTATAACAATAATTTCTGTAAATGTATTCTCGAACAATTATAATCATATCATATATATATATATTCTATTAGAATAATCGTATGTTTTCACCTAAAATGCAAACATACACCAAAAAACATGCGTTAAATTGAAACATGCCAATATAATCAATTAAAACTCATTAATAATATATATATATAATCATTTACTTTGAGCACTCATACATACATTCGCAACATGCTACCTATAGCTTAATCAAGCCCATATAAGCGTTCAAGCACGCATTTCTAAGCCTCAAATACATACATCTACCCATAGAATACACCGTATATAAATCCATAACAACCGAGAACAAATAAAGAGCTATCAGACAATAAGAAACAAATAAATATTCAAAAAGCATCGTGTCAAGCAAAAAAGACAAAAACAAACCTTTCTTCTATTTTTTGTAAAATCTTAAAACCTCTTATAAGGCAGCCTCGGAGCTTATCATTCAGCACTTTTTCCCTTACGCGGTGCGGCCACAGCCCTTCTGCTTGCACTTCTGCGAGGGGCTTCAGCTTGCTTCAATATGCAGGCAAAACCGGTCCTGATCGCATTCTATGCGTCTCGGAAATTCGAGCTTTCCGGAAATGGCGCAGTGGTTAGCGTATTGGGCCGACGGCTAGCAACAAAAAGCACGCCCCGTACCCAACTCGTCGTCCGAGCAGGAAATGAACCGCGCAGAGAAAAGAAGCGGTTAATTCCTTGGCTTAGGTTCTGGACAACGCACGCACGTCACTGCAGGGCAGCTAATCCGGCAACAACGCAGCTGCTGGCTTTGAAGCTGGACAGCAGCGCGCTGGCGCCGGCAATCGCACCTCTGGCCACGGCAGCAGCCCTGACCACCATAGGGCAGGTGACCAGGTGGCTACGCACGGGACTGCATCGCTACGCCGTTACAGAGTTCGGTTCCATCGCTTAAGACGATGGTGGACCAACACTCCCCCCGATATTGCAACAAGGATCACGCCGCGGCGCCGTGCGGGCAAAAACAATTCCAAGCCCAAGCTGCTGGTGCTGCACGGGGCAATCCCGTAGACGGAGCGCGCAAATCTCTGCTGCAACTTGTCAGTGAACTTGCTGCGTCTGTGGGACCGGGATAAACACGCTCAATAGTTAAACTGTCTAAGCGTAAACATGTTGTCACACATTACACGTGTAAGCCGTTTAAACAGATCTTGGCCGACCCTAAATGTTAAAACACGTTTGAATTAACACCCATTTTCAAACATATTGGGGACATGTGGGTCACATGCTTTGGTAACGGACAATAAGGTATGTCGATACATTGACCTGTGTTTTGTGCAAGGTTGGAGTTTGCTGCAAGAGCACAAGAAGATCAGCTTCCTTTTGTGTTAGAAGGTGCGCGAGCGCCACGGCGCTGCAGAATTTGCAGCAGCACTGCAGCAGCTCCTACATCAAGCGCACGCCTGCTTGACCCGTACACGCAAGGCGAATCTGAGCGGCGCCACCCTCTGACGTGGCCGGCAAGTCCAAGAACCCCGAGAGGCGTAACATTTTGCATGTTGCTGGAAAGGTTATAAAACAAAGCACTTTGAGTGCTTTTCCGTTTAGCGTGCGCTAGCACAGGTTGCGTCTTGTAGGAAAATGTTTATGCCTTTCTTCCTTTCAGTATGCCTCCAAAGCTTCCGGCGAGTCCACATTGCTTGATGGCCTGCGTACTTTGAAGATGGTGCCCAAACAATGGGAGTGTCGTGGGGCAAAGGATGTCGCGAGCGACGTCTAGTGAACGTATGGCTATGTGCGTGCGTGGAAAGTAAACCTTGCCGGAAAAGCTTGGTCAAATAAGAAGGTTTCTTGTTTCCGCCGAAGATATACTACGGTGAACAGTGAAGCCAGAGCGTGAACGAGGGACCCCCATATAAGGCTGCGCTTGGCAACCTTGATATGTAGTGCCCCTGATTGATTCTGTCAAGGGATTTCAAAAGACCCCGGTTTGATCGCCCCGACAAACAAAAGGCTTTTTTTCAGACGTCGGATCGCACGTGCCGTTGCTGCCGGCCAAGGCCAGAACTATAGCTGCAAAGACACGTTGGCACAACGCCCATTTTGGAAAAAAGCGTATGTTGAGAGTCAGCTGAGGAATGGCTTGGCATTTTAGGAGCTTCGTTTGATGAAGCCAGCTCAGCTCATGCAATGAGGGTATAACAACCACACATCTTATGCGTCTAGCATTTCTAGCTGAACGAATTAGCTTGGATGCAGCACGGCTCTCTGGATGGACCGATTTATTTGATGGTGGATGGGTTTATTTGTATTATTTCTGTAGTTTCGTAAATGGGTTTATTTGTTGTTTATTATCTATTAAATATGTTGTTTTTATTTCTTTTCATATATTTTTGTATTTAGGCCGATGTGGTTGCCTTTGTCTCTCTTCTAGATATTGGGGAGATAAACAAAAACCAAAAATAAATAAAACAATAAAAACATATAAATAAATAAAAAATAGTTATAACTATATAAAAGATATACCAAATATCCAAATTACAAAACAATATAATCTAATTAAAGAAAAGAAAATAATTAAAAACAAATACATATATCCACCCCAAGATATATATTAAGTATCCAAACTAAGAAATAACAAAATATAAATAAAAATAAATAAAGCATAAATCCATACCCAACTAAGAAATAACAAAAAACAAAAAATATCCATTCATCCAGAAAAAAATAAAACAACAAACCAATAAATCAATTCGTCCAATACATCATACCAAACAACCAAACTTAATAATAAACAAAATATACTAAATCAAACCAACAATATTATAAATATAGTCTAAGAACTATAAATAATAACAGCACATTGTAATAAATAAAAACAATAATAAGCTCGGGCGATATCCCCAATAGCACCACACCCTCCCAGAATCCTCGCGGAACGCCCCGGGACCATCCTCACCGCCGGTGTTGCTGAGGATGCCGCCTTGTAAAGCAAAGCTACGAGCTCGCCCTGATCGGGGCCCGACGGTGCAATCGGGGCCCGATCGGGGCCCGACGGTGCAATCGTCCCGTGGTGCAACCCCAGCCACCCATATTATAGCTCAACGCCGGTTTTCCTTAGCATGCGGATTGCAACTGTATCTATAGCAAAACTAGGCGACGTAGCTTGGTGCAATTGCCGGGGCCCGACGGCGCAATCGGGGCCCGATCGGGGCCCGACGGCGCAATCGGGGCCCGATCGGGGCCCGACGGTGCAATCGGGGCCCGATCGGGGCCCGACGGTGCAATCGGGCCCCGATCGTCCCGTCCCCAGCCATATTATGGCTCAACGCCGGTTTTCCTTAATATGCATATCTTTAGTAAAACTAAGCGATGCCAGCTTGGTACAATTGACGGGGCCCGGCCCCGTCCCGACTGAGTCGGACCCCGATCGGGGCGCGATGGCGCAATCGGGGCCGATCGGGCCCAAACGGTGCAATCGGGCGGTCCCCGGCGGTGCAATCGGGCCCCGACCCAGGCCCGGTGAACCTCGCAAACGCAACTTTCGTGGAGCTCAGCATGAAACTTTGCTGGAACCTTTCCTCAGGGCCGCCCCATAGCTTTTGCAGAATTTGGTGGAAACCTTCTGATCTCATGGCCCTCGCAGCCTCGTGGAATTCTTGGAACCCAAAGCCCACCAAGCAGCAATGCCAAGCATTTACTCTGCTGCACCATGAGTTCCGCAGCGACGTGATCTGATTTGCCATTGAGCAAGTGAGCAAGTCACAAAACAGTGAAAGTGTGCTAAACACCATTGATTTCGGTTTTGCTTAGTGTTCCGCCCATGAGCAAAGCGATATTGATCCGCACGACACACCCTTAGTAGAGCATTTGGAGCTTTGTGGAACCCTGTGAAACCTCAGGGCCCACAACCCTCGCAGAATCTTGGTGGAACCCTGAAACCCTCATACAACCTCACCTCAAACCACCCCGGACCACCCCGCAGCCCTCGCAGAACCTTGTGGGACCCTGCTAGAACCGTGCTGGAATGGAACCTTAGCTTGCAAAACCTGGTGGAATTCTATTAGAATTCTCATGGAATATTACCTCAAACCAGCCCGGACCGTTAGTGGAACCCTAGTAAAAGCCTGATGGAACCCTCGAAGAAAGTGGTAGAACCCTGGTGGAACCCTCGTCCGGAGCACGACGGACTGGTGGAATTCTGGTGGAAATCTAGTGGAACCCTCGTGGAACCTTACCTCAAACCACCGCAACCCTCGTAAAACCTAGTCAAACCCTAGCAGAATTCTGATGAAAATCTGGTAGAACCCTCGTGCAACCTTCCTCAAACCAAATCATCCCAGCCCTCAAAGAAATTGCTAAAACCCTAGTAGAACCCTCGTAGAACCTTACCTCAAACCACCCAAACCACCCCACAGCCTAAAACCCTAGACCCTGGTGGAATCCTCATAAAACCTTACCTCAAACCAGCCCAAATCACCCCCCGCCCTTGCAAAACCTAGTGGAACCCCTAGTAAAACCCCCCTAGTAAAACCCTAATAGAACCCTAATAAAGCCTTACCTCAGGGTCGCCCCAAACCACCCCGGAGCCTATCTATATTTTTAATACAATCACAAATATTGAATTAACATCTCATTATAATATCTCTATAATATATAAAATAATAATAATAAAATCTCGAAAGAATATTAATTCATAAAACATATATCGGAATTTTCAAGAATATCCAATTCAAACATATATAATCATTCCAACAAATCAAAATATATTTTCTAATATTATATCAATATAATGTTTAATTATTCGAGAACATAAAATGATCCATTCGGATTATCAGGGAAATCACGCAGTTGAACCCTTATTGGGCCCAACCTTTTGCAACTCAAGCTACCTTCGGTAGTCGGTCGATTGCTGTTCATAGCTCGCCCGTAGTATTGAAGGCGACCAAAAAATTGGAAAAGTATGGGATATGCACACGGCCAGTTTTGGCTGCATCCAGTAGAAGGCCAGAGAAGAAGGTCGCCAAGAAGACAAAGAGCCCTGAGATGCAAGAGATCATGAATTGAAAGTACGCTTGTTGTCTTGACTTCATGAGATCGATGACTGCCATCTCCTTCTTCATGGCCAATTTCCAAGCGACGGCACCTTTCTTCACCACCTGCACTGCATCTTTCACCTCATGGAGGACGAAAGGAGGTGGATCGTTGGGATTCCTGACTTCCTGGAAAAGGTGGCCTACCCCAACACATTGTCGCAGCCTTCTGTCTTTCCAAATGTCTGAGAACACCTTACGACTCCGCTCGCCCTTGAGCCGCAACCGAAGCTCGTACATGCAAAGGAAATTATCAATTATATCGTCCCAGTTGTTGATGTTTACCGTCTCCTGCAGCTTGTCTATATAACCTGCTATATCCTCCAACTCGTTCATATCCGAAGCCATTTGTGCAGGCGACACCTTGAGAAAGGCCAATAGCTCACCTGATGAATAGCCGGTGGCAGCTTGCAAGTGAGAGTCGGTAAGTTTAGTAATAAACGGCAACATCCCTTCGCATTCAAATTGCTTGAGCTGATCCTCAAATTTCTTTATTCCTTCTACAAACTTCTTGCCATTCGTTGTCTTCGCCAATTTGCTCACAGCGCGAATGAGGTCATCTTGCTCTCTTGACTCCAAGCCACAAAAGGCCTTCCTGAACTTGGCGCTGGATAAGATCTTGCTCAAAGTTTGCACCTGTGGTTTCATGGCGGCATTCACCTGCTTCAAAGTTTCCTTCACACGTGCTTCTGCCATGTTAACCACGTAAGCCAGCTTCTTGCCTGCTTCCTCTGCGGCAGCCTGTGTCATAGTGAGCGCAATTTCCCGAACGCCCTCCTCAGACTGGCCCATACAACTGGAGAGGAGCGGACAATTCGCACCCTTGTCTTCATCATCCTCAGTGTCTTTGCCTTGATCTTTGTGAAAATATTCTCGCTCATCGTCGTCACTTGATTCATCTTTCCCGTCATTTTCATCGGCATCGGAATCTTCAGCCTCATCTTCTCCCCATGGAAGAAATGCGCCGAGCAGTTTGTGGAAGAAGGCGCCCAGGGCGCCGTTCGGGGCGAGTGGCTTCTTGGCAAAGACTGGTTCAGCCAGCGGCTCGCACTTGATGTCTTTGCAAGCGGGGGCCTTGCCGATCTCCCAGTTCACCCCCGCCAGATCCACCCCAACCAACTTGGCGCCGATCAGCTTCGCCCCGCTGAGGTCCGCAGAGCCCAGGTTCGCCCTGCTGAGATCTGCCAAAGTGAGGTCCGCGCCCTGGAGCTGCGCATCTCGCAGATTGGCCCCCTGCAGCCCGGCGTCTTGCAACATGGCGCCCTGAAGCTGCGCAAACCGGAGATGGGCGCCCGACAGCTGAGCCCTGCACAGCTCGGCGCCCTGAAGCTGCGCAGATTGCAGATCGGCGCCCTGGAGGCATGCGACTGAGAGGTCGGCGCCCTGCAGCTTTGCATGCATGAGATTCGATCCCTGAAGCTTGGCGCCTGACAAATCGGCGCCCCACAACACCGAACCCTCCAGCCTTGCCCCCTCCAAGAAGACCCCGCGCAACTGGAGAATGGAATCTTGCCATGTCTTGCGGAAATGGGCACCCTCCTGGGCCTTGGTTGCCAGGCCGTTTTTGGCCTTCTCGAGAAAGGACCGGTACTCCTCCAACTCTGGAGCTCTTGGAGCGGTGTCTCCCTCCTTCTCAAACCTCACCCGCACTCGCGCATGCTGCACATCGAAGCGCTCCAACCAATGGCAGTCTGTTCGATCTTCGATACACCGAACGATCTCATCAATCGTCTCTGGCGGATGCATTTTCTCCTCAAGCTGCCCTTCTTTCAGCGCCTTCATCTTCTTTACCCCAAACGACAGCCCTTCTTTCCACTTCTGCTGCACCTCCGCCGGCAATTCCTCGATTTTCGCCCTTGGGGCAGCCCTAAGGGACTGCTCAGCTGCTGGTGCTGGCATAGAGCTTCCTGCAGCTGGCGATGTCGGTGCTTTTGACTTTGGGAAGAGGAACGCCATGGCTACGAATGACAAAGAGAGATCTGTGTCAAAGCATTCCGCAAACCATTGAGGTACATTCAGCTTAATCCTGAAGTTCTTAAAGGCCCTGGGGGTGCATATTAAATATCAGAGAAGTCCATACTGCGGTAGCCTTGATCGCTAGCCCACCTTGCTCACTAGCCTGTGGTCCGACTGGTGTTTGCTTGATGTCTCGGTGCGCTGCCACTACCTCCACCACAACTAATGTATGCCTCAAGTTGCACAAACGTCGGTCAAACATACTCACTGACAGTAAATCATTGTGCATCTGAACTTCCATGATTCAAACCGGGGCCGGTTTTGATTTGGTCACCTTGGCATGGGCCTGGGCAACTCGGCTGCACAAGTGAGTGAGATTCAATGTTGAAATGGCGATTCAACGCAACTGACTTGAGGCCTTCTGCTGTCTCCTTCAGGCCAGAGCATCTAGCAAAAAACAAAACTGGGCCAGACAGCTGGCTCAAATGGGTGTGTCGTTTTTAGGGGAGGCCAAGATGGTGGGTGGCTTCCCTCTGCTTGTCTCTTGAAAAAACGATCCAAAAAACAGGTACTAACTCAAAAAGACGAGCCACCCAAATGAGGTTGCTCTGCCAGAGCCCGTCGGCCTGAGTCTTTCGGTAACCCTGCGGCCGGTCAATACCCAAGAGCTAGAAATGAAGATAACTTATCCTTGAATTATATCACGATAGAGCATACCTATATGTGTAAGTACAATTAGCAAGTTGGATTAGATTATTATCTTAACACAAAGCTATATACTTGCTCATGATTCTGAAAATTGCACAAATGTAAAGCCATAGAAAATCATCTGTTTTTGGAGGTAGAACCCTCGAATGTCCGTGGAGGCATAGAGGGCTACGCGAGCGAAGTGAACGTCTTAACAAATAACAAGTTGCCGAGGGTCTGTCCACCCAAAATACGCCAAGGGGTCGCGTTTTGAACGTTACGAAACAGTCCGCGCGACCGTTCCGCACCCACTCCGAGACCGCCATCACGACAGAGTTGGCTTGGCACATACGGCAAAGCCGAATTTTATGTTGTCTGTTTTATTCTACAATTCTCGTGATGTTCAAAGTATTTTCACGTATGCTATCTCTATATATATATAGAGAGAGAGAGAGAGAGAGAAGGTTTCGTAGTGCAATCCGAAAGCGATCTATTTGTGTATGTGAATCACTTCTTCGAGACCATATATTTTCACGTTTGTATCCAATTCATTGCAAGATTATGTAAGTTGATGCTCAGAGCATGGGGAATGCCTGCGCAAGGATTGAGTCAGGTAATCCCAACTGACATCGTAATGGCCTCGAATGCATCAAGGCTGAAGACGCCGCCACCAATCAAGGCAACGAGGAAAGACCTTGGCAACATGTGCATGAAGCACCATGACATGTGGCTATGGGTCAAAACCCAAATCGTACCCCCAGCGAGCATCGAAATCCCCACTATCATAGGTGGGTGGTGCACCTCTCCCAAAATAGGATCCCATTGGTTTTGAACCATGGCCAATGTACCCTCCATGCAAATGCTCGGAACCCGAATTGTTTTTAGGTTTTGCGGGTTCAAATCGCATGCAAATCCGGGGTCCAGGCACGAGTGAGAGCCTGAACAGGGCTCTCAGCATGAGCCACAACAGGGCTTGTCCACATAGTGTGGCTCCCAAACGATGGTTGGTATCCTTCTGGTTTCCCTGGAAAACCAACCAAAGCGGGGTTCTTTTGGTTGGTTTCCCTTGAAAACCAACCAAAAACAGGGTTCCCAAAACAAGAGACGCATCCAACACGGGCGATTGTGCCTGTCTGTCTCACACTGCCGTGCACCTTGGATCGCCTGGCAGGAAACGCTGGTTATCCGAGCCAAACGAAGTGCAAAGAGGCGCAAGTGACCCATGCCGCCTCCACATCAAGCCTGGAGCGGTCAGCAAACTTCATACGGAGAAAGGTGCGACAACAAATGGCCATGGGTCAAAACCCAAATCGTACCCCCAGTGAACATCCCAATCCCTACTAAAATAGGTTCTAAAATGGGTGGTGCACCTATCCCGAAATGGTATCATTGGTTTTGAACCATGGCCAAGTATCAAAACAGGATCTGGCTGATTTCCGCCAAGCTGCCTTGCAGAATCACATGGGCATTTACCCGCATCACAGGTGACATCCGCAGAGAGCTCCACAAGGGGATCCTTTGGTCAAGCAACGGAAGCCCTCATGCTTCTCTCTCGGCCGGTCCTGCACACCATTTGGTGGCATCACCTGGCGATGAATTCGTAAGCCGGAAGCTCTCATCGGCTTTTCCGTCGGGAGCCTGGAAGCAAAACGGGAGGCAAAGAAGGAAGACCACGAAGATGAGGCTGTGGATTGCCTGTCCAATCCGAAAAGACAAAAAAGACAAGGTTTAAAACAACTCCCCTACAAATTAGCATGGAACCCAAAAAGAAGGTCACCCCCAAGAATGTATCCTCCAAGAATGATGCTCTTTTGGGCTCAATGTCAATCTCCATGGTTCACATCTTCGTTTCAAGTTGCATCGTCTCCGGCCCTCTGGCACTCGCCTCTATGGTGAGCAGTCCCCCTCTCGCCACCATACTTCCTTGGCTCTAAATGGGTTCCTCAATCGCATGCTACCCATGTGCAAAGCTGCAGCCCGTGAGAAACAAACCCCTTGGCATATGTCAGCCTTCCTGACAAGAGCCCAAATCTGGGCTCCAGGCAGGAAGTAGTACAGCAAAGCATGAATTGCCTAAGGGCAAGTGCGTCTCGTTCTTGTTTCGAAGGCAAGCTGAGGCCAGCACACAGCAGGTGCGAGGACTTTGGATACGACTCTTTGGCAGGCAACCAGATATTTCCTGTGATATGGCTCGGGGCTTGAGCTTGTAAAGCCTCGCAAGCCAACAGTCGCGTAGTCATGCCGTCATGGTCGGGGTGTCTTTTGTTGAGCGTACCCACTGTTGTGGTTTTAAAGGGAACCAAAAGGAAAACCCATCCATTTAGTGGGTCACACAAAAAAAACAACTCCCATCTCTTTTTGGGTAGGTGTTTTTCCTAGGGCTGGTTTTCCGCGGGGCTGGCAACATCCCCAGCATCACCAGCCTCACTTGGCAGGGGGTTGCCTATTGGCTCTATTGGTAGGCAGTTGGGAGTTGCTGGGGGCTGATTTAACGGCTGGCTTAGAGGTTCATTGGGGTGGGTCTTGTGGTGATTTGGAGTTAGGGCTGGTGCATTTGGGGGTTGGCTTGGAGCTGATTTGTGTTTGGTGTGCTGCTGGAAAAAGGGGTGCTCCAAAACCAATCCTAAACGAGACCAAAACTCACGTAACCACATCCCATAAATCAACCCCAAATCACCACAAGACCCACCCTAATGAACATCTAAGCCAGCTTAAACCCCCCTTAAACTTAAGCCAGCCCCCAGCAACTCTCAACTGCCTTCCAATCAGAGCCAATAAACAACTCCCGGGCCAATTGAGGCTGGTGATGCCGGGGATGCGACAAGCCAACCAACCAACCAACCAACCAACCAACCAACCAACCAACCAACCAACCAACCAACCAACCAGCCAACCCAGCCCTAGTTTTAAAAAAAACAGCCCTAGGAAATACAAAACACCGGATCCCTCTTTTTTGCGGGAGGTCAAAACAGCCACCCGCTCCGCTGTGCATGTCGTGCACCCCGACTCCCTGATCCCTTTTTTTCATCACAAGCGACGGGACCCGAATGAGCCATGGTCAAAACTCGGGATCGACGTTTCCCAAAACCCGATGTCCAAGAACCATCGGGTAACCATCCGGCTTGACCATGGCACAACTAAGCTGGCCCGTCCCTTTAAGGGACGGACGTGTGCATCCGGCAGGTCCAATTGTGCAGATGCCCACTTGGAAATGCACCCTGAATCCCGGCCTATATCTTGGCTAAGCTCGCTCCAGTTTGGCTTGGCTCGACTCCGAGGTTCAGGTCTGCGGGACACCAGAGGCCAAATTCGACCCATCGAAATCCGAGACCTTCAAATAAAGGCACTGACTGAACTTTGCTGCTCGCGTGCAGCGTGCCACAGCCCTTCCAGCTTCAGCGGACGCGATTCCGACTGAATTTGCAAACCACAAGTGACGGTGGCCTGAAATTCCGTTCCAGTTCCGGGAAATGCCATCTTCGCCAAAAACAAACTAACTTTCGCGAGGTCCATCGCGCATCGCGGAGCTTTCGCACGGGAGAGAGCATAACTTCAAATGGCTTTCCTCTTCATATCTCAATTCAACGCCTTTCACATGACTGATATGTCTCTTAACTTGTTCAAATCCTTCCGGATCTGAGAGAAGCCATTGGCAAAAGGCAATTTAACAAGCGTGGACAGTTGCAACATGTTGCAGCTGTGCATCGCCGCAACTCGCGCTTGTGGTCACGGGACCCGGAGTTTCTAGCTCAAACTCATTTTTTGGGGTTTCGTGATTCATTGATCTCGCCAACATCTATACGGCGAACCCGAATCAGTGTCAGACTCGAAGCGGGGTCACATCACGGCGCAAGCCCTCGAACCCGTTCCCTGGTCGCCCTTCGGCGTCTCCGGCATCAAGCCCTGGGGAGACCTGGAGTCTTTTCGGACAATTCCGAGCGAGCAGTCCCGTGGAATGGGTGTTTGAAGGGAAACCAAGAGGGAAACACTATGCCGACTATGCCATATATGTGTTGCTTTTCATTTTTTGTGAGGGCTTCCTGGTTGGGCTTGGTTGAAAGCCAAAGGAAAACCGACATTTGGACTGTGGCTCCAACCGAAAAAATGCGGCTCCCATGACAAACCCTTTGAGAAGTCCGGCTTTCACGTGCCACCAGTGCCAATGTCACCGAGTTTGAAACTGAAAATCCCTCCCGGCCTCTGGGACTTGCTGAGAGGCGACTTCTCTTCCTCCCTGGGCGCCGAGATAGCTGAAAAGAAACGCGAACCGATTTCAGGTCCGAACACCTCCACGATGCCAGCCAGATCCTGTGGAGTTTCTCGGCTCTCAAGTGAACATTTGCGGATAAATCAAAGCTTCGGAAGGGTTTCAAACAAAATCAAACCACCTCATGTCCAGTTGCCAGATGGTCAGGGGTGCCAGAACTTGCACGTGCCAAGCCCTACGACTGCACTCCTCCAAATGAGAGGTGCGGATCTTTTGGAACCAGGTGTGGTTCACGCACTCAATGATGCTGAAGCGCTTTTCAGGGTCCTCGGATGGGCTCAAAAATATCACGCTTTGCAAAGTGGCTTGCTACCAAAAGCCAAAGCCGGTCCTTGTGCAGCATGCCCTCCAACAGACTGCACATGTCCTCAGCGAAACTGTTTCTATGGGTTGGCCAAGATAGTGTTTACAAACACTTTTACTTTTGCACCAACTCATATTGGGCACAGAACCTGCTTTTTTCGGCATTGTTTTGGAGCTGATATTCTTTCTGGGTGTGTGCGTGCGTAAAAAGACAAACTGTGAAAAGCCCCCCCCACCATTTCCTTGAAGGCTTCGGAAGGGACTCCATGCAGCTCAGTCTCTGAATCAATTTCTCGGAGGGCATCCCTCATGTCTCCTGCGCAAAACGCTACGAATGGTCATGGGGATGGTGTCCTGACAGCAAGCAAGCAAGCAAGCAAGCAAGCAAGCAAGCAAGCAAGCAAGCAAGCAAGCAAGCAAGCAAGCAAGCAAGCAAGCAAGCAAGCAAGCAAGCAAGCAAGCAAGCAAGCAAGCAAGCAAGCAGGCAGGCAGGCAGCAAGCAAGCAAGCAAGCAAGCAGGCAGGCAGGCAGGCAGGCAGGCAGGCAGGCAGGCAGGCAGGCAGGCAGGCAGGCAGGCAGGCAGGCAGGCAGGCAGGCAGGCAAGCAGGCAGCAAGCAAGCAAGCAAGCAAGCAGGCAGGCAAGCAAGGAGGCAGGCAGGCAGGCAAGCAAGCAAGCAAGCAAGCAAGCAAGCAAGCAAGCAAGCAAGGAGGCAGGCAGGCAGGCAAGCAAGCAAGCAAGCAAGCAGGCAGGCAAGCAAGGAGGCAGGCAGGCAGGCAAGCAAGCAAGCAGGCAGGCAGGCAAGCAGGCAGGCAGGCAGGCAGGCAGGCAGGCAAGCAAGCAGGCAAGAAAGGAGGCATGCTTCATGCGTGTAGCCGTGCAAGGACCGAGCTACTTCATTTGGATCTACCCAAAGTCTTGTGGGAGACCTTGGAGTCTGCCCCCCTCCAGCTGGCCTATGTCCAATGCACACGGCGCGCGTCCTGTGATGATGTGGTCTGTAGAGAAGTCCGCGAGCCAGGCCAAGAATTTATCATCCTCACCTGGGCCAAAACTAAGGCTACAGCGTTCCAGCTGCCAAAAACCTGGCCTGTCTCCTCGAACCACTCGTCGTACCTCGGCAAGCGAACCTGTGATTTTCGGCAAGCGGTTGTGCAAGAGTGTGGCTCCTTTTTGTCACAATACCCCCTTCGTGGCGGAAAACCCAACAACCCGCCAACTTCGAGGCATCTCTTTGTGGTAAAAGGGGAAGCAACAGGAAAACCGAAGCCACTTGGCCAAGCTGCCAGGGCTTTAAGATGGGAACTCCGAAGATTGCCTGGTCACCAGGCAAGACTCGCGGGCGTCAGCCAAACGGTGTCGCAACCAAAGCGCTTCGGCGTCGCCGTGCTTTTGCTGAGGCAAGAAATCCGCCCCTTTTTTCATCTGCACAAATCTGGTCTAGAGTCTATATATCAGCCAAACATCTTGGAGTACATTGCCTTCTCTTGCTTCTTTTCCTTCTTCTCCGCATCAGCGGCTTTCCTCTTCAATCCTTCTGCCTCCTTGTTCGAAGCATCCAACTCCAAAGTGCGGTTGGCATCCTCCACGCAGGCCTGAAAGTTGTGCAGGGCGAACTCCGCCTGCGCCCGGCGGAACGTGGCCTTCACGTTCTTGGCGTCGTACTCCAAGACCTTGGTGCAGTCGAACTTCGCCGCCTCGGCGTCCCCGATTTTCAAGCGCGCCATGGCGGCGTTGTTCAGCAACGCGATGGCCAGCTCCTTGTCCTCGTCGCTCAGCTCCAGAGGCTCCGACTCACCGGCTGCCTCGTGCCCGCCATGTCCGCTGCATGGCTTACCGCCGTGGCTGTGCCCGTGGCTGCCGCCGTCCTCCGAGGGGTCGAAGGTGATGTAGTCTTTGCCGTCCTCGTAGCGGTTGACGGCAGTGGCAAAATCCCCCTGCTTGAAGGCCTCTGTTCCAGCATCCTTCCTTAGTCCGATCCCTTGCCTGAAACTTTCGCGCTCATGTCACAAATCCAACTCCAAAACGCCGCATCTGCGGAACCCTTCGGCTGGGACTGGGCTTGTTTTACATCAAACTCACCTCCGAAATGGGCTTGGCGCAAGGGAAACAACCCCAGCTCCTTTTTGCTAACCCCAACAGCTCCAAGAAAAGCTACCGTTGAAACCGAGTTTGATCATTCGCCCGCAGTGATCAAAACGGCGTTTTGTCCGCCGAGTCGCATCTTCTTGGCGTGCGCGCGCCTCTCCTCCGGTGTCATCTCGTCGGGGGTCTTCACCTTCTCCTTCCAGTCAAACAGCTCCACCTCAAAGTCCAGCGTGGCACCTCCAGCGTGGCACCCGTTTCAGCGGCGAACAAAAATACCTCTCGTTGTGGAAGGGTGGCCGGAGTTGGTACAAACACCTGTGGCAAAAACCCTCATGTTGAAGATGCCTGTCGTTTTGGGGGGAGGGTGGCCGATGTAACGTTACAAGTTCTGCATACGCCTCCAGGGATCTTCGGAGGGCTGCCGGAGTCCCCGTAGCCGTAGTCCGAGCGGGCTCGCAAGATGCATTTCTCCCCACGCTTCATGGTGGGGATTCCCTGATCCCAGCCCTTGATCACATGACCGATTCCCACGTCGAACTTGAACTTGGAGTCGCGATCCCGAGAGGAGTCGAACTTGCTCCCATCTTCATGCAAGGTGCCTACATAGTGCACCTCCACGTGACTGCCGGGGGTTGGGGTTTCCTCGCCTTTCCCTTCAACCAAGATCTTCTTTAGCAGGCCCCCATCCTTTGCCTCAGTAATGTCCACGAAGCCCTCGTCAGCCATTGGATTCAGGCGACTCTCACAAAATTTGGCTTCTGCTTGTTCTCACGGTGACTACACTCGGATGACATGGTTCTGCAGCTTGTGTTCCCGCGCTTGTCAGGAGCCAGAATCTGCCACAAGCTATCCACTCGACCCGCAAAAGAGTGCTTGCCTAGTAGTTTCTCTCGACAACCCCAAAACATATGCTGGTTCTCAGCACGGAATGAGGGAATGACCCCTCTTAACCATCTCCTATGCTTTCCTTGAAGGGAATCCCCTTCCGGTTCATTCCCAACACCCTGGGTCATTCCCTACTGAGCACCAGCAAGAAAAGTGTAGCAAGAACGACCCTTCCCACGCCTCCATGGCACACATCCCGACGCTCCAAACGTCCATGAGCCGCGAGAGCTGAGCGCCAGCGTGGATCCGGAGGATGCCCGAGATCCCCCCACCCCTTTTGAACACCCCAAAAAACACTCACTTTTTTAGGTTCTATGGAGGGTTTAGCCAAAAAACACTCAGTCCCTTAGGCTCCATGTATCCATGTAGGTGTCTCAAACCCCTGTGCCTTGACCGGTTCTTCGCGGACGGCATCTTTGGTGCGGTGAGGTCGTCCGAATCTGTCTCTGGCAGGTGCCTGGCGAACCATCCGGGGAAACCGGACCCTCGCTGACTCGTCCAAATACGTCTGGCCCTTTCCCTCCCAGCGAATCATGGCACCCCAAGGGCGTTATAAGAGAAGTCTGCTATTTCAGTCGCCTTCCCTTGGGGTATGAATTTCAAGCCGCCTTCATGGTCAAGAAGGTGCTTGCCAACTCTGGCGACCTGAGTGCACTGACATTTTTGTTTGCAGCTTCGCGGAGTCTGGGGCTGGGGCAAATAGTGCAGAGTCGCCACCACAGACTGGCAAGCGCCAGCACTCTGTTCGTTGACTGAATCTAGCTGCGGCCAAGCAGCATCCAAGCGCACCGACTTTCCAGTGCACAAGGCTCCATCCAAATCAATTAGCTTCCACTGCTCCTCGCACTCCAAAACGTGCCCGCCCAAAGCATCAAAGGAATCCGCATCAAAAAAAGGCGCGTCGAGCAGTCCTCTTGTTGAAGCGCAAAGCACACGATATTTGCGGGCTTGATGTCCAAGTGTACATACCTCCAGTAGGTACTGTGCAAAGCTGCTGAGACATGAGACACAATTAGTGTGGATGGACAACATCCTGCACCAGCCACTCAGTTGGATCCCAGTCTTCATTCGGTTTCGTCCATCTGCTGCGAAGTGGATTTGGTCCATCCATACCCATAACGTCCGAGACACCCGAGCGTATGAAGCCCGAAGACCTCAGAAATCCGAAGCATCTGCGCTTAAAACGACTGCGCCTTTCGAGCTGAGCCGCTATGGAGACCAGTGCCCACCTAGGTGAAGCCGCAAAACATGTCCAACAATTCGATATCTGGGGTGTTGTCAAAGATATGGACTGATTTTGGGACCTGGTGCCGCCTTGTGCCGCCTTTTGAAGGGAATACCTTAAAGAGGCCCCTATTGTTGACAAACCTTCATTTGGATGCCCCAACAGGCTGTGTGTTCCTTTTGCTTCCCTTCAGACCTTCAAAAGCCAATGAGCCGTGTTTCTCCACCGGAAGATGTGGAGCTGCGCGAGCCATCCGCGAGTCGGCTCAACCCAAATTGCAAATGCTCCCACCAGAGAGTTCCTTTCTGGACCCCGCAGTCTACCTCCATTTAAGTGGGAGAGAGTGTACTTATCTTTGGTGCCCTTTCAAGCATCAAGAGTTTAAATTGGGACAAAGAGCCAGACATGGGTATGAGCTTTGATTGACCCTTTGGTGGACATCATTTACATTGGGAGTATGCCCAGTCATTTGTCAGGGCCTTCCTCATTGAAGTACCTCAATATAAATTCCTTCAAGAAAAGCCCCAGCTACCCAAGTGAGCAACCTCCCGCAAAATTTTGGGTGCGTCCGTGTGATTTCTGGCTTCGCTTCAAAGCCGAGCTGTGCGTCCAGCCAGAAGCCAGCCAGAAAGCCAGCCAAACCTCTTTTTTTGATAGCCAGAAGCCAGCCAAACCAGCCAGAAGCCAGCCAGAAGCCAGCCAAAAAGCCAGCCAGCCAAAAAGCCAGCCAACCAAAAAACGCCAGCCAGCCAAAAAGCCAGCCAAAAGCCGAGCCAGCCAGGATTCCTTTTGAGGGTGCTCGCCTTGCAGAAACGCAGCTACGAGGCAAATTGACTGCGCATATCTAGGGGCTCAAGAGAAACTCACCTTTCGGCCAAAATGGTGCTCAAAACCACCAAAAAGGAAAACCAAGGGGATTCTGGTTCAGGCAACCCCACCAAATCTCAAGGGAAATGTAGGGACGGTTCATCCGAGGCGCTGCAATCTGCAGTGCTCTTCCGCTGAGAGCTGCCGCTGCTGCTCTGCGTATCGAATTAGCCTGTCCTTCCGCAGTGCAGGGAAACCTGATATATATATATATATATATGTATATATATATATATATATATGTGTATATATATGTATGTATGTATATATATATATATATATGTACGTACACATATTATCATTCATAGAGCAAAGGGACCATACATGCATATGAATTCGGTAATAACGTGAGATGGCAAGACGTGACACGTGAGGAAAAAGCGCGGAAGTCCTCCAGAGACTCCATGCCAAGCTCGTAAATGATGAAAAGTGACCTGGCTAGCGCCCAAAACCCCCCTGACCATCTTAGTAGGTGACTGTACCTGATTTTCTGTTTGTACTAGGGTTACAAACAGCATACAGCCCCGCCCCCTTTTCTGGTCACAAGGTCCCTGTTTTTTGAGGCCCCTTGTGCATTGCATTGGGGGCCCCTGACAAGGTTCGAGTTGGAGGACCCTTGTGAGAATGTTGGGAGAGAGGTAAGAGTAGAGGACAAAATCGTTGATTGGCAAGTTTGATTCATTGGGGGGGTGGGCTTTTCTTAAATAGCGGGGGTTAGGCCTGAGGGTCAGGGCAGCTTGTTGGGCCAAGTTAGTTGAAACAACCTGGTGTTCTAAAGATGGTTGCTTTAGGAGGAGAAGAGGGAGAGAATTGGCAAGCAAGGCCAGTTGATTCATTGGGGGGGGCTCCTGTTAAATAGTGGGGATTAAGCTTGGGGGGAGGGTCAGAAAAGCTTGTTGGGCCTAATTATTTGTCTGCGGTCTGGGAAAGCAATTCAATGGAATTTGGGGAGTGCTGAGTGAAGTGGAAGAGCAACCAGTGCGGAAAAGGAAGTGCTTAGTGAAGTACTATTGGTAGAATGGGCCAGCATGGCAGCAGGCCTGGTGGATTCATAGCGGGTGCTGCCTTCTAGCGATTTGGGGGTGATGAGCCAGCACGATGGAATTGTCAAGTGTCTGCAGGAAGCTGGGCAACTCTAAATTGAATTGAAAACACTCCTGGTGGGATTAGAGAAAAACGCCGCGGGCACTTTTGTTTGTGGAATTGAGGGGGTGCTAGGGCAGAGCTTTGCTTTCAACTGAAACAAGTGGCTAGAGATGTTGAAAGTTGAATGAGCGGGTTTCTTCCTAGGTCAACATGGGTGTGCCTCGTTTCAAGGGTACCCTTTGTTTTATGCGTTTAAAGAAAAACCACCATTTTGGGGACCCAAGACCAAAAGGTCAATGGGTTTTGGGCGCCGGCCTTCCTGCCCTGCGCCCCACAAGCCAAGACCGTACTCTTTTGACGAGTCACTCCGTCTCCATGTCAAGACCAGGCTTGCCGGAATCGTCCTTCGAGTAGCTGATGATGGTAGCCTAGCGGCGCGACATCATTTGCATCCAAGTGTTCAAGCCAAAGCTTAAGGTTCCAACAAAGCACGAGTTAAAGTCAATCTTCCGCATCCTCGGCGCACGGGCCACGCGGAACACGTGGAACGAACGAACGAGCGCCACGGCGTCGTCCGTTCGGATCAAAGCGCGGGCTTTTTGCAGCAGAGGTGCAGCTCGCCGCGGGAGGAACGCCTCCGCCTTCAGGAGAACTTTGGTCAGAAGGGACCAATGCACAGGGTTGGTTTCAAAAGTATAACAATATGTATGAGTATATATATATATATGTTGTTATGGTATATTATATTATGTTATATTATATTTTTCTATGTTATATTACATTATATTCTATCATATCATTTATTGCATTACATTATATTCTACATGTTATATTGCGTTATACCATATTATAAATATCCAGTCCTAAAATGGTTGGTTTCCTTGTGGTGTCATTTTGAGAAACCCTCACACCAAAGACCGCAAACTCACTCGACAAACAGCAAACGGTTTGGAGAAAAACACAGGCTTGAGGCCCTGTCCAAGTGCCAAGGATCCAAAAATACACACACACACACACACACACTTAAACTCCAGATGGAGAGTGCTAATCTTTCGAGTACAACTGATGAGTCTCGAGTACAACTGATGAGTCTCGAGTACAACTGGAATGGAGGAAATCAATTATCGGCTTGCAGTTCACTTGGCTTCACTCTAGCTACTTCAACAGGGAAACAGAGAAACAACAGCGGTTCAGGGGAGGGACCAAAAGGACCTTGAATCACGTCTGCAGGTACTTGCACAGCAAACTGGATGGGTCTTCGTTGGCCCGCGCCATCCAGTTGCCCTGCTTCCAAAACCGGCACAAGGTGGTGACAGGGTATTCTGTCACTCCGCACACACACACGCCCCTCACAGAGGGGCGAGAAGTCTCTTTTTCGGGGGGAGAAAAAAACCACGCACCCCAAAACCGGGCGAAGACCCCAACAGAAAACAAACGGAGCAAGGGAGCCCAAAAGAAACAGAAAGGCCCCAGGTTGGGTCTCCGCGGGCAAAACCCCAAACAAGAAACAAGAACAACGGGGAAGCCAGGTTTCGGGTCTCCGAGGGCAACAACCCCAAACAGCGCAAAACGACCTAGACCTTGTAGACGAAAGGGGCCGCGAAGGCAAAGAGGCAGAAGAGGAACAGGCCATCCCTAACCGGGCGAACAGGAAGTACAAGAGATAGCCCAGAGAGGGAAGGAAAAAGAAAGGAAAGAAAAGAAAGGGACGAAAGAGAGAAAGAAAGAGAGAGAGAGAGAGAGAGAGAGAGAGAGAGAGAGAGAGAGAGAGAGAGAGAGAGAGAGAGAGAGAGAGAGAGAGACAGACACAGAAAGAGAGAGAGAAAGAGAGAGAGAGACAGAAGCGTATTTAGGGCGTCGCAACCGCCCGGGGGGAAAAGAAAGGAGCAGGGTGCGTATTTAGGGCGCCGCATCCCGCCCGAGAAGAAGGAAAAAGAAGCAGAAGGCAAGAAGACAAAAAGGAGAAAAGAAGGAAGAAGGAAGAAGGAAGAGGAAGAGGGAAGTAGCAGTAGTAGTATGCGTTTTTAGGGCGACGCATCCCGCCCAGACAGGAACAGAGGATGAAGACCAGGGCTCGCGGAGAAAGACGTCGAATCCCACACAGGGGCCAAGAGGACGGACCCGAAGTAGCAACGGAAGGGGAAGAAGACGTCAAGCCAAACTACGTGAGGAAGAAGAGGAGTAGGAACAGGAAGACAGACACGAAGACGAAGACGAGGAAAAAGGTGAACAACGCGAGGACAACCAGGCCATCCCTAAGCGGGCGAACAGGAGCGGGACGAACGCGCGGGTCACGAAAGGCAGCAAAAAGAGAACGGGAGGAAGGAGAAGCCATCCCTAAGCGGGCGAAAAACCAGAAGACGGGCACGCGGATGAAGAAGGCGAGAAGAAAGAACGTAGGGTGAGACGTCGCTATGATCTGACCGCTGTCTTCCCTTTAGTGAAACCTCGCTCCTGGTTAAATGTGAAATTCCGCCGTTCTATGATAAGCACGTTGAGGTCAAATTTTCCGACAGAGCCGGCCCGGGGTCACACAATGGGTACACCCGAGGATTCCCCACGAATGGGGTGTACACACTTAAACTCCAGATGGAGAGTGCTAATCTTTCGAGTACAACTGATGAGTCTCGAGTACAACTGGAATCGGAGGAAATCAATTATCGGCTTGCAGTTCACTTGGCTTCACTCTAGCTACTTCAACAGGGAAACAGAGAAACAACAGCGGTTCAGGGGAGGGACCAAAAGGACCTTGAATCACGTCTGCAGGTACGTTTGCACAGCAAACTGGATGGGTCTTCGTTGGCCCGCGCCATCCAGTTGCTCGCGGGCCCCCTGCTTCCAAAACCGGCACAAGGTGGTGACAGGGTATTCTGTCACTCCGCACACACACACACACACAAACACACCCAGCTACATCATGGTTTTCTCCAACTTGGGGAACCAATTTGCGTTGGCGGTTTTCCTCTACATCCTCCCCTTTCCCCTTTTCACCAACCAAACAAAACGGAAATCCTTCGCCTCAAGAACGCAGAGACGAACGACCCGTCGCTTCGCTTCCGCTTCCGAGGCCGGCGCACGTTGCTCGGCAGCTCAAGGCTCCGAGGGTCGAAGGATCGTGTGGCAAAGTCCCCCCAATCCGTGGAGCTCTCTGCCCACTCGCAGTCGACATCCTGCGCTTTGCACTCTGGGGGCTTTGGTTGGTTGATTCGCGTTGATGGTCGAAGTCAAAGGTAACAAACCTCCCAAACTTCCAGCTCCCCCTGAATGAACCACACATCCTTTGCGGTCACAACTAAACAACACAAAACGGCAGGCTTTAGTCCACGTTTACATGTACCACAGCCTCAACATCCTGCAAAGCGATGGGTGGTTTTTTTGATGCCACCTTGTTGTTGATGGATCTTTCTTGGTGTGTGGTCAAAACTAGGGCAACCCCAAAGCGGAAAATAGAAACTAGACAACAGGTGGCCCGGAAGCGTAGCAGCATATTAAACAAACTCTGACACCTCCC